CATTACATGACTGATCTCAACATCAATACATGAACCTCAGATCATGGACCACACCGGGATTCATCCAGCACTTTGACAGCAGACACCAGCAGCCAGGCATTGGTGAGTCCCCTGCCTTAATTTGAAACTGGCTCTCAAACAAGGAAGAGGGTGGGGGCTGAGGGAGGAGAATGAACATTGGAGAGAGGTTGCAAGGAGGGAAAAGGAATTTGCAACACCACATCTCAACACAGCTTAAACATCATCACTTTAGGTTAGGATTATAATGAAGCACTGCACCTGCTCTATCAATTTTCTTCGCAAATCAGAGCTACCAGAATAGGTCAGTAGAACAGACACTTGCCTATTCAATCTGACTTTGACTTTCAGTTGTCCCTTAGAAGCATTCTCAAGCACCAAAACCAAGGCTTTATCACAGCTCCACTATGACCCCACAGAAATTGTACGACTTTTGTGGAAAGCACAGGGCAAAGAGAGGAAGGGATTTACAATCCTTACACAGCTACTAGAACTGCTTCTGTAAAAAGAAATGCTAAGAGCAGTACAGCTCAGCAAAGCCATTCTTTTATCCAAAAATAATCTTTAACCAAAAACATACATGTAACAAAGAATATTCAGGACTGAAAATTTAGAAGTATAACATAGGACGACAGAATAGGTTACTCTGTATGACACACTGGATCCTCACATGAAAAAGTCTAAGTTGTCTGTCATTATTTTGGTTTGCATGCCTCAAAGAATACACAGTGAATATACAAAAGGCTTCACTCCTTAGAAGAGCATTATCCTTTCAGGTGTGGCAGTATGTTTGACTAAGTCCAGCAACACAAGGGATAAGGCGGCCCATCCATACTGGATGAAATGTGAAATGACAAGGGACTCAATATATTTTGTGAAGGTGCCTTTATGTTCAATTATACTAGCTTTTAATCTGCTTGCATGTGAATGTATTTCTATGTTCAATGTTTGAGTCATGTGGCTTTGGTCACACGTGGCAGGGTTTATAGAACTTTATACATTCCTCTATAAATAGGTGCTGAGAATATCCTGCCCCATCTCAGCATCTGACTCCTACATGTAACATTCACAGATGGAATTCCCTTGAGTCAAACAGAGCTGAATGCTTACAGATGTGCTTGCCAGATCTAACTTTTGTGCTACAAAATCTTGCCAAATCATGATTCTTTTACTAAAATGAGGAAGAGTTCATAAAATGGGAATCCATGTTTGATGGGAAACATGCTGCTGAGGAATACCATCACATTGCGAAACAGGAAAAAAAGTAAAGAACAGTTCTTCTCTTATTTTGTAGAGGCAAGCTAATCAGCTGCAGCCATGGTTATTTAGCTTTCCCCATAACTAGGACTAGCAGGACACTTGACAAGGTGAGAAAAATAACTTATTGACTACTGAGTGCTCGTTTTTGGTTTTAAGTCCTTGCTCAATTCTCCCTAACCTCACTGCCTGAAGCTGAAAAGGGCTCCTCTTTTTCCCCCTGCTCAGTTGGCAGCCCCCTGCAATGGGAGGCCGCTGAGAAGCACAAGAATCAAACAGCATTCTCTGGATGTCTTCTCCACCAAACACCCCAAAGTCACTCTCTTTGCTGTTAATGGAATTTGTTCCAACAACAGTTATAAGATTATCCTTCTGATTGTTTTTCCAGACAAATGCTAAGTTGCCTTGTTATACTTGGACATATGTTGCTTCTTTTCCTAAAGGACATTTCTCAAGAGCAAGACCTGCCTAGGGTCAGCAAAGGGCAGGCAGTTTTGGATCGGCTCTCAGGACCCCTCAAACTGAGGAGGATTGCTGCTCATTCCTTCCCCCTCTCAGCTCTTCTGTGCCTCAACATTTTTGTCCATTTTGCCAAGTCCCTCAAACATCTGCTTCCTCCACCCCTACTCTAGTGTTCAGGAATGTCTCTGGCAAGAGCATGTGGCCAGAATGGCTTCCCCCACCTAAAACCTATTCTCCTCTCTTGGTCTTCTCCCAGCAGAAATAAGTTTATTGTCTGCAAACTTTAGTAACCACAACTCAGATCCTTCTGTCTCTATCCCCTTTTCACTGCACAAGACCGTATCAGTCTCCCAGAAGAGCCTTGATAGAGAACGACTAGATCTTCCTCTTATCTGTTCACTACTTTGCTTTCAGTGATTGTTCCCCAGATCTCTTCCATTTAGTATCCACGGAAGACCAGTTTTCCTCCAACCACTTCATGACCTCCTCCTATCTTCTCCTGAGATTTCCCCACAGGTCCCTGCACATTTTTTCCCTTAAGCTCTTTTCTAAAGAAAATACAGAGAAACCTTTGTCCTAAAAAGAAAACAAAAAATCCAATAACAGACCATCTAACCAAGCAATCCCCACAGAACAAAATGGAGAAGAACCAACTCAGAAAAATACTAAGAACTCCATACATGGTATTAACACCACAGTGTAGTTTTTTGACACCACTTCCACTTAAAATCCTCTCCAATCTCACCTCCTCCCTCACATTCAATAAGGATGTTGTCACTAGCCCTTCAAATGATTGTTTCCTAGACATATCACACAGTCATTTCATTTTCATGCATTCTATGTAAGCACTTCACAGCATATGCTCAAATACTTACTGTCTCATACTTTCATTAATGCTGCCTCAACTCAATTGCCTTATTTCTTTAACTGATCCTTTAGACAGACACTAGATTCTTTTCTCTAGTTTTCTGTGGGACACCTCCGTACCATAACTAGATAACAGTTTCTGTAACTTATTTACCTAAAATAGCTTTCCCTTGTGGTAAGACAAAGTAAGTTACAAAGCCCCCTCTTCTAGCTTTGGATCAGAGGTTTCTTCCTATGTATGTCTCAAGTTGCTCCTCCTCTCTCATTGTGTTGTCTTTTCAGTTTTTCTGATAGAATGAACACATTACCCTCTTGGTTCCTAAAAGACTTCGAAATGTCAGGATTAAAACAGCCATACGATACCAGACCAAAATTATTCACTTCACTCCTTGCCCCCTACACACAGTGAAACTCAAATGAGAGGCAGGAAGGGGTAAACAGTCTGTGAGATCAAGGGAGCTGGTCTCATCAGACAACCGCACCCAGCTGTTTTGTATATGGGACAGGAAAAGGAAATTAGAAGCTGGAGTTGGAGGACAGTTCTCCATTCAGAAGCTGAATGCAAAAAGGCTGTTGTATTAAAGGCTGTTGTATTAAAGGCTGTACCTTGTTTTTACTACATAAAGATTTGAATAAATAGGAAGCAATACTTCTGTTACAGGGAAGAAAACGGAAAAGTGTATTTATTTATTTCCTATGTCTTTTACTCTGAATATGTTGTACCAGAATATAAAAATTTGAAGTGATTCTGTTGGATTTACCTTTCCAGTTCTTTTGCTCAGTGCTTATCAGTTTTCCTTCAAGAAGTCAACTATTATAAAGTACAAGTTGCCTAAATAGACATCTCTTATAAGCCCTGTGCAAGCTTCAGTCTTGACTCAATGCCAATTTAAATAATTCTTCCAACCTGAACTTCACCCACAGGACAGTGCAGCTTGCCTTGCCTCCAAGAACACTTGCACTAAATACTGGAAGCCTATCACTTAACAAGCATGGACTATCAAACGACCATTAAAGCAAGTGGTGATTTCTCTTGGAGAAGTGTTTGGGGAAAACATTACAACTACACTCAACTTTTTAGCTCAGCTGATACCAGAAGAGATAGTAAGAAAAACATATATCTCCACTCTTACTCTCTGTATGATGTATCCATTTCCCTATTACAGGAGTAACTTCTTTCTTCTAATACCTAAGCAAACGTACTGGTTTACAGCAAGAAGCTCTGCTCACAAAAGAATAGGAATACCAAGTCACTAGCTGCAAGGACAAAAGGTAGCTGATACAGTTGCCTTTAACCAGTTTCAGCTCAAAAAAGACAGCAGTCACAATGGTAATAAAGAAGCAGTAGCTTACCTTTTCTGAGGATCAGAGCTCCCTGGAAACTCTCAAAACAGGCGATCTCCAGGGCTGCCAGACTTTAAATGAGCTTAGGGAGGGGTGGACTCAGGGTTGCCCAGATGAATTGCTTGCACCTGTGCTCCCAGGGCTGGCCACCCCCCCCTTCAGCAGGTGCTCAATCACTGGCTCAGGCTGTGAGCTAACGGCTCCCACACACCTGCCTTCCCACAGTTTTGGTTAGGCACAGTTTGTACTGCAAGCTATACACAACTTGGAACTGCCAATCTTGGCACGATTTTCAGCAGAACTGCTATGAAATGAAGCAACCTCATGACAATCTATAACTTCATTCTTATTTTTCCTTTCATTAACAAAGAGATCTTGCTACATTTTATATCAATCAATAATGACTAATGGAATCATACTTCACACCACTGAAATCAGAAGTAAGTCAAAAATGGATATGGAACTTAGTACAATCTACTTAGAAACTTACCATCACCACACTAAAAAAAACTACACCAATATACTAAAAAAGGAACATAATGACTGCAGACCTATTTCATGGACTCATGGTTTCCCTTTTTATCATAAAATATAATAATGTAACTTTAAAAAATCTGTTAGAAAACTTTAATTTCTACATTTATTTACAGAACTTTTAGCAAAATGCCTCTACTGCATAACTACATTTAATTACAACAGCATTTGGCATGTATGAGAGATGGACATAAATATTTTTACTTCCTTCTCATAATCATTGCCTGTTCAATGGGTGTAAATTGCTATATTTTTTCTTCCAATTTTGTCATACCAAAAGTTCAGAATTTCAGGTGTGAGATTTTTTTAATTGTTCTTGATGCATCTCATTTTTCTTGCAGTGGATGTTATCCACTACACTTTTCATTCCACAACATAACTGTAAGCGGTTTCCTTCATCTGCACATGCCATCTATAGTGAAGATGCTTCTTTCCAGGTTTGAAATAGCTAGTACAAGCAACAAAACAAGTGGCTCTGTGTGATGTAGCTGTCTAGAGAAGTCCCTTGTTGCACATACCTCAGGGCAGTTTCACACCAGCTCAATTTTGATGGAGCTCCATATTCTACAGGAAGACTTTGGCACACAGAAGATTCCCAGATTTCATCTCCAGTAGTCTCAAAATAAAAGCATTGCGCTAGGAATGCAAATATTTAGTTATATTCCTGTCAATGCTGTATATTGTCATTTTGTCTATTTTTGACTATGGTGGTTTTTTCCCCTTTTCCCTGCATCACCCCATGCCAATGAAACTCATTATTTCCAAGTGTTTAGTGTCCCCAGAATATGAACAGAGTACTTGAGCTGCAAATGAGGATTTCTTCATGTAGAAAGGGATTTGCTTCTGAAAGCTGCCTTGCTACACTGTTAACTGAATTACCTGCTTTAAGAAGGACTTCACGCATAGGATGAAAACACGAACCAACCTCCTTAAATATGTCTTTAAGGACCACCTAGTGGACAAACTTTATACAGCAGTTTTATGTAATAGCACCTCTGCCCTACACGCGCCCCTCTTCTGGAAAAAAAGAAAATAAAACAAACCCATGCTGTATCTGTGTGGGAACGTAAAGGAGAGGAGAAGAAATGCACTCAGATCCTTGCTATAGACTGTTAGATAATGTTCACTTTCTCTTGACAAATGTCAATAGAGAAATAAAATTTATTTGCCCAAATTAAAAAAACAAAGTATGCTGATTCTGTTGCTTTTTGTCTTACATGGAGAAAGACTGGAATTGATGGATGTTTAAACAAAAATGTCAAAAACTGCTTCTCTCAGATATGTGTAAAAAATTCAAGACATATCTGCTTAGTTCTAGCAGGACTACATTCTATAGTGCTGTATCTTCAGTCTCCCATCCACAGTGAATTGTAAGACAGAAGAAAGGAGCATCTATATTAAAAACTAATGATGTAAAAAAATATCTTCAGTAATAATAATTTAAAATGCTGGTAACCTCAGACATGCTGCCTTCCTCCATTATGGAAATTTAAAAATGTATTTTCTCACTTCAACAGTATCCACATAGTTAGCAATACACATTCACCCTATTACATAAAGCATAGTGAAATGCAAAGCTATTGCCTATGTTATAAAGATGTATTTGTTTGTGTTTATTCAAAGATTTCCTCAATTTATCTTCATTCAGATTTGTTAAATATTCATGTATTCACTGCAGAATCTTGCATTTTTCCTTATTCTGCACTCAGACAAAGTGTTAATAAGCGACCTCAACTACATTCTGCATTTTTCTGTCATTTGCTTGTTTCTAAATATACCACGAAGCTCTTGCATGCAGCCTGATAGAAGTATTTTTTCCTCTTGTCCTCTCTGCCACTGGCACAACGCAGAACATTTTGTAAAATAGTAAAGAGTTTGATGCTTTGTGCCACTTATTCTGCTGTCCTGAAGATTCTAGAAACAGGGCATTACTGCGGGGCAGAAATGCAAATGATTTTTTACACAGCATTCCCTACCACACTTAAATGATTACATTTGTCATTGTTTCTATTTAAAGGATCCCTTCCTATAACCAGGACTGCCTCTATACCACTCATATGGAACAGGGTTGACTAATTCAGTAAAAATGTTTGTGCACAGGAGTAATATGCTTTAATGGAAATTCACACACATCAAATTATTTCCGTGGAATATTCCATTGCTGAAGAAGCAGATGACAGAAAAGCATCATCATGTTTGAAGCTGGAGCCTTTTGTAAGTGGAAAATACACGCTTCAGCAGCTACCTCTTTCTAGAAGCTGAACTGTACTAGTTTAGTGTGATAGGCAATTTAGAATTTGAACAGGTTTGCTAATGAAAGTAAAGGCTTTCAAAAAAACATCACTGCCATAGATAGGGCCAGAATCCCCTAAGGTCTGTCTTTCTTGGCCTGGAAGCTGTTTTCAGATTAGTGTTCTGCTACATAACCAAGGTACCTCTGTTCTTCTACACAGATACTGATTAATCTGAACCCCGAAAAATGGGAGGCAGGGAGTGGGGCAGCGAATCCCTGACTCCAACATTTCTGGGCTATTTAAAGATTCAGCTTCCAACCCAGTCCAGCCCAGTTGAACCCTACCTTGAAGCAGACTGATGGGATGTCAGGTGCCACTTGTAAACCTCTGCAAAGTTCATAGCCCCTTTACCCTGGTAAGGTGGCTCAGAGGGTAAGGGAGGTTGGCCAGCTGCATTCCAACAGAAATGAAAGGCTGGATTTTACCTGTGGGATTAAAAAAAGATATGCACGTTCTAAATTTTGGAAAAAAAACTTCTCCAAAACAACACACAAACAACACTCCATTTATTTGAAACATGGAGCCAGCAGATGAGAACATGGAATAAAAAATGACTATAAAAAGTCCAGAACAGTTGCACTGAATACAAACTGAATAAAGTGGGAAAACAAGCTCATTTGAAGTCTACTTGATACTGAAAGGGTTTCTGTATCAATGAACTGCAATTGCTGCAGGAACATGGGTGCTGTTGAGATCTTTGCTATTTTTACATAAGACATATGAAATAATTGAGATTAAAAAAATTAAGCTTAAGGTGCCTTAACAAAATTCCCCATTGTACACAGTCTGTTACTATGAAGCCTCTACTAAGTCTGCTACCTTACTTTAGTCATGCAGAGGCTAAACTAAACACTACAAGCCTCCCCACAGTCCTTCCTCTGAGGGGCCATGATGCTGCCTGTGCTCCACAGCACCTCCATCCAGAACACATGCTCCTCAGCACATGTACCCTGTACTGGAGTTTAGAAGATATCTACAAAGCTTATTCCACATTCTCTACATCAAAGGAATCCTTTTACTGCAAAACTGAGACTTTTATGACTCTTTTCTGCTACATTAAAGGGCCTGAATTGAGGATCTTTAACATTCGTGTGAAGGACTTCCTTCTCTGCTTACTTTGGGTTAAACAAACAACTTATTTTTATATGACCCTCAAAATCAGCTTGAAAGCACCAGAAACTCAGCTGCCACAAGCTGTATTCTGCTACTAAGAGCAAAGCAGATGAAGACTTTGACACCTGTGATCTTATTTAGAACAACTGTGCCCATGACAATGGCTACAACTGCAGGTTAACAAGTAAAGGAATCTCATTTGCCTGTACAAATCTAATTCAGCAGCCTGAATTATTATCATCTGATTGTCACCCATATAAAGCAGACAGATATTATCTTGCTTAAAGCCTTCTGTCACCAGTACCATTGTACTGGCTGGGTTAGCAGAAGTACAGGAGAGCCATTCTACCTGTCACAGTTTACTCTGATTCAGGATGGATACATCTCTGGTGAATGATCACATTGCTGCTGTTCATGTTTTATTTATTCGATGCATAAATTCACAAACGAAGATAGAATTAACTCCAAAGAAGAACAGTTGTCCGTTGAATTCATATCAATTCGTATTCATGCCAAGTAGAGAAATGGATACAGATTCTTGAAGAAGGGATTGACTTCAGTAAGTCTCAACTTGTAGCAGCTGCAGATACTCCTTTGCTCTTTATGTGTTTACCAGCGCTGGGCGATGACACAAAATGCACATAGCAATTTTTGAGACTCCAACACCTTTTCTACAGCAGGGTTTAGAACATCCATTGCTCATTCTTAAAACATGGAAATCACCAAAGCTGTTACATATGGCAGTTTAAACAAAACATAAAAACGAAGGAAAAATAATGAATTCGCAGATTCCTTCTGGTACACACTTGATGTTTCCCCATAGCCTGTTACACCTGTCTGCCCACACCTCTTACATAAAGTTAGCAGGCCAGGGGCAAACAACTCCAGTTGAGCCTGTTGGCTTGCTTGTTTTTAAAGATATTTTCAACTAGTGGGTATCCTAGCTAAATTCTATCAAATTTATACTTGTACTGACCATAAACACACAGGTGCAACCACCAGGGATGATTTAAGCCTATCTAGACAGGCTTGTCGTTGCACACCTGCCAGCAATTTGTTGCCTGAGCAGCTCACTACTGAGAGTGCGTGCCGATGTATGAGGAGGACAAAATGCACCAGACTCCTAATCTGTTTCTGTTGCTACTGTTAGATGTCTTCTCAAAGATTCCCAGTGCTTCTTGTATCAGTGCTGCTGGTATTGACATCTGTAGATTTGTCAGCTGAACTACAAAATTTTAAAGCCAAATTTAACAGCAGTTTGCTATGATGAGTTCCATTTGCTCCCAAGGGGATTCCCAGCTCCCTTTAGATGTCTCATTTTATTAGGGAGATATAAGACTTTTCCCCCTGTAAGATGAAGGGCTGTAGTCAGCTATTTGGAAAGTTCATGGACTGAGTAGGCAAGGAAACAGGCAGAAATACGATGAAAGCATCATATTTCATATTATCACACTGCCACTATTTCCAGGTAAGGCATCACAGACACATGGCACCTGGCTGGTGACAGCTGTGGCTGGGCAAAGACCTTCCAGGGCACAAACCAGGGCTATACTCTATTCCCCTTCTCCTCAGTTTATGGAAGGAGGAGGATGTAAATGAAAGGAGAGCTCCCATTTCTGGCCTCTAAGGGAGGTAGCATCCTAAGGAAAAATCCCATGCAGGAAAGTTAACAGCCTGCCTCCAAAAAGTTTAGTTTGAGCTAAACTACAGCCTTTTACCATATAGTGATCAACCAAGATGATACTGCATTCTCTGGAATATAGAATGAATACAGAATTATGTCAGAAATATGCAAAAAATAAGTTTTCTTAAGGCATTTTCAAAGATGATCATTTCTAACAACATACTTCACTTGAAAAACGTTCCAGAATATGATCAATTCCTGAAGTGTTCATTTCTTATCAGTTCCGTCATTCTGAACATTTCAAAAAGAGCCTCATAGAAGCTAAGCAGCTTTCCTGTTAAAAACTTGATTCTGTACTGACTTTATACAGAGTCTATGTTTTAACATCAAAATATCCACATGGAAGTTCACATCAAGCAGATCTGAGCTCTTTTCCCATCTAAGGTGTTGAGTATCTTTCACCTTTGCATGCAGCTGTCACAAGTCACTTCCATAAACTTCTCATCTCCTAATTTCCACTTCCATTTCTCTTCACTACTTTTTATAAAGCATTCACAGTACTCCTGCACATGTCATAGCTGCAAACAGCAGTGTCACAGGAACGTATCTAGCTGTGTGGTCCATTGCTAACCAGCAGCCCCAGCCAACGCTGTCCCTTTCCCAGTAACAGACATTTCACAAGAGGGAATGCCAAACATAACATGGCACTGTGAACCTGAACCTGCTGTGCCTTGCCTCATGGTCCATAGGGCTGCTCTGGGGATGGTCAGCAGGCAATGCCATCACACCTGTTCACCAGAGGCACCTTCCACACCCAGCCTGGGGGCCAGCCTTGGGGTAATGTACAGCAAGGTTTGAGCCACATGAAAGGACCACGACAGTGTGCTCATTTCCCCAGCGTGGACTCCTGGTCTCCAGGAAAGAAAATAAGGGCAACCGCTGGGTATTTGTGCCTTCCAGTACCTCCTCATCTCTTGATTTTGGTTTCCCGGCAGCTGGGAGCGCTCTGCCACTCCTACAGCTGCAAAATCAGTCTTCGTCTGTGACTCCTAAGACAAGCCCTTGCTCAGCATTCTTATCACTTTTCTGTCCCTGATTTGATTTTCTCTGCGCCCCCAAATTCAATTTGCCAGCAAATTACATCAGCTGCTCGCAAAGCCTAAAGCACGCTCTGCACGCTGCATTCCTTTGCGGTATCAACGCTCTTCAAAGCCGCGCAGCCCCGCTCGCCACTGCCGTCGCACGGCTCCTCCTCGCATGCAAACCCGTGGGCAAGGCTTTCGGTCAGCCCCCCACCCCGCCCGTGACGGTGCCGCTACACCGCCGCGCGCGCCGTTAAAGGACAAGACGCATTCTGACGGACGGCGGTCACCCGAGGGTTAAACCTCGCCTTAGGGCGGCAGCTTCCCCCGCCCAACACCGAGGGAGGCGGCGAGCCAAGATGGCGACGGCCGCAACAACGGCGCCGCTCCTTTTGTGCAGCGCCGCGCGCCCCGCCTCCGCGCCGCGGCCCCACCGTGGGCGACACCCAGCGGCGGCGCGGCGCAACGGCCGCCTGGCTGCGGGCATGGCGCGCGGCGCTGCGGCCTCGGCGTCTGCAGAGGCGTTTTGCTTTTCGGTGAAAGCAAAACCTCCCTTCAGGCCGGAACGGCTTCTGTCCAATCCGCCTTCCGCTGAGCTGGCGACCGGGACTCCCGTGGCGTGAATTTCGGTACTCTGTGGCAGGGGCTATGAAAGCCGACCACTGTTACTATTTAGGGTATTTTCCTGTATCTGCTTAGATTTTGTATATTTGGTCTGACAACAATGTGTTTACAGTTGGATATTCCATAAAATAAAGATACTTATGATCTTGACAATGTCACACTATTTTGTTAATCTTCCAGTGAGCTGTTTATAACATGTAAAAGTCCCTCTGAAGTCATGCTTCAGAAAGAACAACCTGCTGTGTTTAAAGCAGCACTCTGAATGCGCAGTCGCTCTTGTATTGCAGACACAAGTTTTTGCATAAATGCAATACCTGACAGAACCCTGAGGCGGTGTATGCTACAAGTTGGCGTTACAGATGTGACTGACCTTATTTCCACATCATGAAATCCTTGCGTCTTTCACACGTGCTGAAGTGAAAAGAATGGACCGGGATGGGGATTACGAGCAGTATGTGCTGATGGTCTGCAGTGGGCATGGAGTGCGTGCTGCAGGAAGAACATGAACGGATTACTTACGCAGCAGTTACTCTTAAAATCACACATTTGTAACTGCCGGGAGGCTCAAAATCCCCGTGAAGTTTGGTATCAACTCTGACCCTTATTCTCAGAGGAAATGGATTTGAGAACAGTGAGTTTAACCGAGGAGTCTGCCTTGCTGTCTCACCCTCCATTTCTACAAGTCTCTGGTGTCTAATAATGCAGCTATTCTGAATTTCAGTTTTCCATAGGAAAAAACGTCCTCAGGTGACAGCTCCATGCATCACGATGCTGCTCTCAAACTTGGTTGTTCTAAATGTGGATCAGGCTCTGGCTCTGGCTTCTCTTCAATAAACTTTATTAATCTGGCACCGTTTCTTACTCACATATTAGGGTGGGAACTGTTCCATTGGCAAGATTATGTCTAAGTCTATACTTAACTGCAAACTACTTAAACTAAATAATGTCTCTGTCACTTACGGTTGTGTCAGCTGCATCCCAACTTATCCAATGCTTTTGACCCATACACTCATCTGTAATATCTTCTATTTAGGTTAGCTCAGCAAAGAAAGAAAAATAGCATAGGGTATGTGGTTTTGTTTTTCAAGCCTACGTAAAGCAAAGCCTGCTTTGCTTTTGAGGAACCTCTGTCTTCTGAAGTTTTGCTTGATTTAGTTTCATTCTGGCACCTGTGAAGAGTCTTAGATTTTCCCATGTTGCCTTCCATTTTCAGGCAATGAAGCATATCTTCATACCTTTCTCGAGGGTTTATGCATGCCTAGCTAACCATCTCACATTCTTCTCAGTATTTTTATTCAACATGGTGTAAATCATCTTTCCATTCTTTTTAAACAATGTCCCATGTAATTTTTTCCTCTATACTGGCATCAGATGCAGGGAATATACAGCACCAGCCACTTTGTGCTAAAAGGCACACGTACTTTTCTACAGACTTTCATCCTAGGATAAGTGGAGAAAGATAAATATGTACCACTGATCCTTTCCCTACCAGAGATATATATAATAACAAACTGGAAAAGGTGCAATTTGTCACTATGCTATGGAAAATCCTGAGATTTTTCTTAAGCTGTTTTTCTCCTTTGCTTCCCCGATGAAGACATTCTCCTGAGGAAGCTGTAGAACATAGTTATACCAAGTAATGGGCTTCTGTCTTCTTCTTTTGGCTTTTCTGTCATTGTGAATGACTTAAGATTCTTGTACTGCACTGGTTTGGGCATCACTGTCCAACATGAAGTAGCACATACTCCTTTTTCTATCAGGTAAACACTTGCCATCGGCTGCAATGCTGTCTACCACTTGGATGAAAAATTCATCTGAATGTTTTACTTTTTAGTGCATACCCTTCTGATAGCAGCATGCACATTTCGCATAGGCTGTCGCTTCCACGCTGCGTGCTATAATACCTACAGCTCCACATGCCACATCTGTCCGAATAATCACTCCTGTAAAATTGCCTTTGATCTTAGTATTTTTTTTTCTATGACAAATTATTGTGATTCAAGATGATTAATTCTTGTGCTGTGTCAGTGAGGTTTTTTTGTTCCCAGTCAGTCTTATCAGACTCCAAATAACTCTGCAGCAGTTCTTCGCAAACTTTTACAACAAATGTTTTGTCATTCTGCTCACATGGATACAGAGTCCAGAGGGAGCGGGTTTGCCCCTTCAGCCCGAGCTAGGACACTTATTATATGGAAGGAGCACCCAGCTGCCTCCAACCACACCCTGAGTTGAGGCACTAAAGATAAGCCATGATACTGCACTAACAAGTGAGCTTCCAGAGGTGCAGGATGAGGATGTAAGGCAGGGTTAATGGGGGAACGTGGTAGAGATCCTTAATACACAGAGTGAATTCATCACTGTTTCTTCTTTCTTCTCATGCTGTCAGTGTGAAGAACTGTAGTCCATATCGCAGTCATTCTGTAGGATGTGTGTGCTTCATGGCTGTCTTCACCTAGAACATAAAGAATATGAAAATCTTCAGAGCCATAAATAAAAACAGCTTGTCTTCTTTTTTTTTCTTTTCTTTTTTTTTTTTTTTTTTTTTTTCCAGGTTTAGAAGAAGGAACTTCACTCTGTTTCAGTGAATTCTTAATCTGATGTCTACATTAATAGTTAAAGTCTTGTGCTGCCTACTTCATAAACTAGATGACTGGCATTAGCTTTTGAAAAACTATTTTAATATGATGGGTCTTGAGTGTCTAGATGCTACTGTGACTTGATAACAATAGAGAACAATGATACATGTAAATGTTTGAATTATAGAAATTATTTCAGACCAGTAGGGCAGAAATGGCCATCTTCTCAGCCCTGCCAGCTTATTGAAATTGGTCATCTTTTCTTGCTTTTCTTGTTACACAATAAATGCTATTTACATCTAATTTATTATAAGCACATGTTGAGTGATAGCCCATAAAGCTTTTGGAGATTCTATTTTCAGTTACATTGTACTGCTGCTGAATAAGAAATGTGATTGCTGAAATTTGTTTTCAATGGTACGTTGATTAAAAGCTGCTTGAGTTTAAAATTCCAACCATCTAAAATGAAAACCCTTCACATGCTTCATATACCCGGCCAGCCAGAGTTTATTTTCCTACAGTGTATAAATAATGGATTTTACTGTTTATACAAATCCATCATCGAACGAGGTTGAATTCTCAATTGGCAGTGTGAATTGTCTTGCAGAGAAGCTAACTAGCTGGAACTAATTTTGAGATGGGTATAGTGCATAATTATGGTAACCTAGTGTACAGGTATGTCTGATGTATAACAATATGTATGAAAACAATGCTGAAAAACATAGCTGCCTGGTTATAAGCTAAATCTATTATAGTTTAGTGATTTAAATCCCCTTACTTGGCAGAAAGCAAGTGTCAAAGATGAATGTATTTCACACTACCTTTTCCCATGAAGACTATGCATAACCACTGCCAGCAGCTTACAGAACTGCCTCCAGAGAGGTGAGGAAGGTGTCCACAGAAAAAAGCAAAAGCATTAAAATGAACTTTATTTTTTTAAACTTACTTTAAATCTTTTAGGTTTTTTAGTACCAGGGTGGCTTGGGAACCATCTGGTTAAACTGTTTACAGTCAGCCCGGTGACAGCTAGGTTTTCCAGAAGCTAGGTGCATTTTGAGCTAAGCACCTCACAGGCAGGTGACCAGCAGGATGTAGCAGGGATAATGAAAGCAGCAGTGTTGGCACCCATGATGGGAATGTCTGTGGTAGCAGGGAAGTTTCCAGCAGAAAGGTTCAGCAAAGATGTGCTGAGCAGGTGCAGTACTGTAAAGAAGCTGGTGAAAATCATGGAAGGAACTACAAAGAAGGGAGATAATTTAAGGGTATTAAATACAGAGAGACTTGACCATCATGCTGGAGTTTGAGGATGTCTGAACTAGAAAGGGACTGGGGGAAGGGACGGAGCCTTTGAACACAAAGAAATTTATGGACCTCTGAAAGCAGAGATAAAGATAAGGCCTTTCAGAGATGCCTGAAGATGAAAGACTCACAATTAATCTAACTTTGGGAGATAGATCTAGCTAAGGGAGCTGCAAGATTTAAACTTTTGTAGCTGCTGCATGACACGTGCCATGGTGTTATGCCTCCCCAGATAATGCTCTGTAGCAGACTCCACACCTTGCCATGCTTACATCAGTTCTCTGGTGTTGGTAGCTGGCATGAGCTTTCTGATATAACCACAGTAGTCAGGCTTTTTTTCACCTTTAAAGAAGAAAGTTGCACTGGCATCTAATATTTATCTTGAATATATCTCATCAACAAAGCCAACTGAGCCACTGAAAGCACTCTGTGCATATCAGGTGCTGATTTGTTATCTGCACACAGCGGTAAGACAGGTGCTGAGAATTTCACCACAGCCATCAAGTAATAAAAGTACTTCTGTAACAGCAGCTATTGTTTATTTCAGTTTGATGAATGCCAACATAGCAAACAGCACAGAGAGAAACACAAATAAGAATGCAGCATGTTTACAAATACAGTCATTTCTCCTATGCCAAATTCATCTCTGTGGAGAAAGCAGAGATGCAGGCTGCATCCTGCTC